TGCACTCTGGCATCAGCCAGAAGAGATCTTGACCTCCCTCTTTGTGACAGCCTTTGAGGGACTTATGGAGGGGTATCATGTTCCCCCTCAGCCTTCTCTTCTCAAGGCTGAACATGCCCAATTCTCTCAGTCTTCCCTCACAAGGCGGCGTTTCCAAACCCTGGATCCTATTTGTTGCCCTCCTCTGGACCCTTTCCAATTTTTCTGCATCTCTCTTAAATCTCTGTGCCCAGAACTGGACCCAGGACTCCAGGTGGGTCTGACTAGTGAGGAGTATAGAGGAACTATGACTTCTCGTGATTAGGAATTAATACTTCTGCTACTGTGTCCCAAAGTCCCGGCCATCTCACAGGGAAGCTTCCTTCACACCGGGAGGTGCCGGAACTGTTCCGAAGGACCCTGAACCAGCTCAGGCTTTGGGCTGCAGCTGAATCTGGCAGGCATCCCTAATGGGCAAATTTATCCCACTTTCTGCATGCGGCTTTTCAGTGCAAGCGGTAGGTGAGCCCTCCCGTGAGTGGAAGATGGATTTCGCATGACAATTGGCATGTTTGGATCCCACCTGTTTATAACAGAGAAACACTCTGAAGCGTTCCCGCATAAGCATACCAAATCATCTTGACAGATAATGCCATCAAAACACCGCGGCAAGCATATGGTGTGTTATTTGTAAAAATAATTCGAGGGCGGAGGGATAGAGGACGGAGAGTACCCGGGACTGGCGTGTGCTTCACGGATGCTGCAAAGGGCGAAACATCTAATTATCTGTCAAGCAAAAGAAGGCAGACAGAAATCAGACTTCTGTGGGTTTCTGGTTAATCTGATGATTTAAAGAAAGGGGTTGAGGATGGTGCCTGCCTGGAACACCCGGAACCAGCATGCTTGCTGAGGATAACCAGGCCAGCTGCAAAGGGGACAGGGCTACTCGTGCGTCGCTTCGCCATCTGCATCCATGCTTTGGCCTCCTGACCAGGGTCCAGAGTGTGGAAAGGGGCTGAGTCGGCACACCAAGGGGTCACCCCTGGCTGGCAAAGCAAAGGTGTCGATGGACTCATTATGGAGTCCCCCTATTTAGGGAGGTGGTCATTATTCCGAGACACTTCACTGCGGCATTCGGTAACAGGACAACCTGCTTGTTGGCTTTGTGATGTCCCGGTGGGCCAGAGGAGGCAATTCCCAAGTCTTTTTCTGCCAGCATAAAACCTTTGGGCAACTAAACCCCCATGGTGTGAAGGACGGCCTTCCGTAAATACCTCGTTAACGGAGGCAGCATGAGTCATAACGTTTGATGCCTTCCTTGCTGAACCCTTGCTACACACACGCGTGGCTTTGGATGTGCCTGAACCACAGAAGCGTGTTCACAAGGACAAGGGGTCCAATTCATTTATTACACATGCGCGTAATAAAGGAAGGAGAAGACGATGGAGTCACACTATCAGCAGGATTAACCTTAAAAGGATTCCTAGGATAACACCTTTTCTGATTATTAGTCCCATAAAACATTGTTAAAGGAACATGAACGCTGTAGCGAACACCACAATTGGCATTTTACTTCCGTGCTGTTCTGGTGATGAAATTACTACCTTAAAAAACACACCGGCACTGAGCTGCCTGCTGCAGGGATGAGAGTTATTTCTGAGTTCACTTAGACTCTCCGGAAAGCATTTCAAACCCTCTTCTGGCTCACCCCCATTTTCATTTCCTACCTGCATTTCAGCTCATTCAGATGGGAACAAGGCACACTTAGAATGTCACATCTGAGTTTTTGTGGATATTTTCCCAAATCACACAATTTTCTCCATTGACTAAAGGTGTGAAATGGGCACATTTCTAAAACAATCTTGCCTTTTTCCTATCATGATTGTGAAATCAGGAATCCATAAATATTTCTTCCCTGAAATTGCCCCCACTCACATGACAGACTACAAACAGGAAATGGTTGCAGGATTTGCAAACAGAACTGAATTTCGGGTAAACCTCCAGCCTGCTATGGGGCTCTATTCCATATTCCACCCCAGATAAACAAACAAATGAAGGATCCGCCAACTTCCTTTTGCGTATTGACAGCCTTTGTGAATGTGGAAGCCAAAATGGTTGAATGAAGGGCTCTCGCTCCTCTCCACTCTTCTGTTCGCCTTCTTTTCTGATTTCTCCCACTGGCTGCTCCCGCAAGACCAGGCATAACAGTCCCTGAGAGATCGACCCTGGGTAGCGACGGGCTGGATATTAGACACAGGGTGCGTAACCCAATAAAACCATGAGAACACAAAGCTTTTCCAGTTTAAGCGGATCCACACACATAACGCAAAAACAAAATATAAGTAATGGGGTAATGAAATACATCTGGGGATCAAATATTCCAGTTTCAGCAGCTCAGACTTCTCCTGGGCTTATTCTTTCCCTCTGTCTGTTTCTCTGCTCCTGCCTTAGACCTTTAATATTAAACTCTCCGGGAGCCCAGCCATCCAAAGGATTTCTTCTGTCATTTCGCCCTAAATTCCTTTCTGAGTGCTTCCTCTGACCTTCTGGGGAACCTCCTGTGATCTGCTTTTCTCCTCCTCCTCCTACAGAGATGACAAACTGGAGGTCTTTTCACTGAGACTGATAAGCAAATGCCAACATGCGCCCAGGTTTAACCTCACAGTTTCAAGAAACCGAACCAGACTGGAAATAGAAGAAACTTCTGTTCCTTTGCAACCACACTCAGCCCTAACTGCAGCCTCCACAATCTTGGGAAACCAACCCTGATTGTTCTTTAGAAGGCCAGATAGTGAAGATGAAACTCAAATACTTTGGCCACCTAATGAGAAGGAAGGACTCCCTGGAGAAGAGCCTGATGCTGGGAATAATTGAGGGGAAAAGGAGAAGGGGTGGCAGAGGAGGAGGTGGACTGGGGCGGTGGGTGTGGGCTTGGGTGGACCTTGAGAGATGGCGGAGGGCAGGAGAGCCTGGAGGAATGTTGTCCATGGGGTCACGAAGAGTCGGGCATGACTCTGCAAGTAAACAACAACAAAAACACAACCTTGCTGCCAATGACTCTGCAACTAAACAACAACAAAAACACAACCTTGCTGCCAATGTCAAACGTGACAGCTGATCCAATGACCTCATGGAAGTCCACAAAGCCAGTTCGATTTGGCATCACTGTGAAGGCCAAGAAGCTGCAGCCGCCAGCAGGGCAAGACGGCACTGCAGTGCCAGCGTTCAGCGGGAGGTTTCGGCAGTCGCTCCGGCCGCCTCCAACATATTCTCTTCCAAGCAAATAGCAAAATTACAGGACGCTCCGCACAGCCCGACACATTTCATCTCGGCACTCATTGATAATAATACCCCTACCAACTTCAGCCGCGAGGGAAGCCAGCTCATCTGCGGCAGCCAGCAAAACACGCTCCTTCGCTCATGCAAATACCCCAGAATGTGATCTGTCCCTTTACGGAGCTGCCGGCCCTAAACTACGCATCCGCAGCAAAAAATTCCCTTGTTCCGCAGCGATGGATCCATGCAGAATGTTTGTCAACCACCAAAGGGGGGGATTCGTTTCAACACAATCCCACCCCGGACACATGTACACAAAAGTCTATTGTAAGCCTTCGTTTCCAACAGATAAATGTAATCAAAGTTTATATGCTCACAGAAGCCAACAGGATGGGATTGCTTCACTTGAAGGATCAGAGGAAAATTGTAACTAATGTTGTGGAAAATTACTTTGATATTGCTTTCTCAGTACAGGATTACAATTAGGTTGCTGCGTGAAGCACCAGGAAAGGAATAAATGGATGGTAACAAATCAACACAAACAGCTACTGTCAGGATTGCTTTACTGACGGGAAGTAATGTAAGCATTACTTAAAGTTTTATGACTCTCGTTTTATTCTAGCTTAAGTAGTACATCAAGGGTTTGGGATTGTGGTTACTCAGGCTACGAACAATAAAGAACCATTCCTAGAAAGTGAAAAGACCCAAGCTATCTTTTATTAACCTTCCGTTACAAGTTACGCCATCCCAAATTAAACTGGAATGCGTGCATTAATGAAGAGCAATGACTCTCTCCTTGGAGCATGATTCCATCCTGCGTTTGCGGTGATGGGGGCACGGAGAGGGCAACGGGTTTCTAGGAAGCTGCTCGGATGGTGCTCAGAAGGGATGCGAACGCGACCCAGGGCCACTTCCCAGCAGCGGGTGCTGGAGCAAAGGAGTGGGCGGAAAGACCAGCATGCTTCAGCTTAAAGCCATTACTGCAGTAGCTAAGTCCTGGAAGAAGCCTTCCAAGAACGCAGTGCCCAGACGCCAGGAAACGCCAAATGATTGGCCAGGTGCGGAAGGGTTTAGGCTGAAAGACAGTGAGAGTAGCCCCCTGGGAATACCCAGAAGGCCAGACTGGGACCCCGGGAGTCTGGACTTGTCTCCTCCTGCAAGGCCTGGAATTCTGTATGCCGGCTGTACAGGAAATCCTAGAGGGCTCTTTTCAAGGGCTCCAGAGAGCAGTGCAATGCCTAGAGCAAACCAACAAGCCCGGGACTCCTTTGCCAGAAGGGCAAGGACGTCAGAAACATTTCCCACACCTCATGACAACAGAACTTCAAAGACCACTGTTCCTCTGCCCCTGTTTGGTTTTCTGCAGTCCAGACTGGGAAAAAGACTAACTTTTTGCCAATGAGGACTTGTGCTCAGAGGGAGCAGAAGAGCTGGCAATACCCAGGAGGACAAATGACAGCTTGCAGACACCACCAGCTCCTTTTTTGAGGCCTTCAGCTTGTTGCAACAATGGCACCCCTTCTTCTGGAAGAAGAATGTTACCTACTTGGATCGGACAAGCCCAACCTGATTCTCCAAGACCCAAACTAGCCTTCATCCATAACAGGAGCATCTCCAAAAGGCAATCGTGGGCCTCTTGGAGAGCAGGGACATCAAAGGAGGTCTGTTGCCACTAAATATTATTTTGCCCAAGAGGACAACAATCCAGGAGAACCAACACAAAGAGAGAATCAAGAAAGACTTACCTAGTGATTGCTGATGGATGACTTCTTCTGGATCCTGCAGATGAATGAAGACAAGAAGCCCAGCTGCGCCAAACAGCAGGATGAAGGAGAACATGCAGGTCAGCTTCATCATTGAGGTCCTCAGATCAATCCAGGTGTTCCCAGGGAAAGAAGAAAAAGTGCTCCGTCTCTACGAGCGAGGTCATGGTTTCAGCTGGCTGTCCATTCCAGGTCCACCTGGCAGGGGTGAGCACAAAGCCATTAAAGCCACAGGCCTTAGCTAGTCCACCTAAATCTCTCATACATGCCCCTTAACCTTCCTCCCCCACCCCACCTGGGACAACCAAGATGTGGAAGCAGGAAAACACACCCTGGGACAACTTCCCATGACGCGTTTGATGATGTGCTACAGAAGTCCTGAGGAATCGTGCCAGTTCAGGTCAAAGGCTTGTCTGGTCCAGGATTTTGCTCCAGGTGTGTGTCCATGGGGGTGGAGGAGATGTTCACTTCTCATTTTAATGAGAGCTCACCTAATTTTGTTCTTTCAAAGCTTTTTTATGTGAACCGAAACTCAATTATCACACAAATGCAGATTTCTCTGAATAACGCAATTGGGTTTTCTGTCAAAATATGCTGGGGAAACCACCTACTTAGGGGAAGGCCCATTATATCAAGTAAATTGCTTGCAAAAATGTGCATATTAATAAATGTGCATATAAAATGCCTGTATTTAAAAGGAAATGCATACAGAGGTCCTTTTGGATGTTTGGGTATGCACTAAAAAAAGCTCTGTATTTAAGATGAACCCAAATTAAGTCAGGAGAAATTCTCTCTCTTCTTTTAGGTGGAGGGTTTTAGAAAATACAGAACAAAAGACCAACATAAACAGAACAAACTAAAATGAATAAAATAAACAAAATTGCCAAGGGAATTACAAACAAACACCCCCACATATTGCATCCCCCCAGAACCGACTCTCTTCATATCGTCCCACGCTCTATGAGAGATTGCAAAAAAGAAAAATGAATCATTATTCCATACATCAACAGATTTCTAACTGGTTCAAATTCTAATGCTTTCCTTCTTCCCTTCCAAACTTCCCTGAACTTCCATTAATCATGCTAAGCACAATAAAATCTCCATAGGTCTGGAGAAATTCTCAAAGATGGAGTCGAATGGGACTCACAATTCTGTGCAGAATAATGGACTTAGAACAAACCAGATTTAGACTAGATACCCAGAAGACTTTCCCCACTGTCAGAGCAAAACAACAAGGGAACCTGTTAACCAGTGACGTTGTGGGTTCTCCCTCACTAGAGATACTCAAAAAGCATCTGGACAGTCACCCGAATGGGAGGGTGTCACGTGGTATCCTGAAACAGCAGGAGGGTGGACCTGATGGCCTTCATGGCCCCTTCCAACTCTACTCTTCTATGAGTCTATGGAAATAAGGAGAAGCCAAAATGGGCTGATTTGTCCATCCTCGTTTTGTTCACATGGAGGCCGACAAGATCACCACGCGAGATGACACGTAGGAACACAAGGTCTCAGCACACTGTGCTCTTCATCAGACGAGGCTGCAAAGAATGTTCTCTGTATCCAGAGAAGAGGAACAAGAATTAGACGAGATCTGGGCAGTGTCTTGCTCAAGAAAAGATGCACCATTTTAAGAGATTCTGAAGGAGTAGAGCCCAAACTAGTGACTCTTCCATATTCCCCTGTCATGCTTCCATTCAGCCGGAGTGTTAGAGCGCTGTTGCGCAAGACGAGCAGGATCCGTTCCTGTGACTTGCAGCCAATGCTGATCCCTTGCACTCCCTTAATTCTGCTTTGGCATCAGAGGGCTCCCCGCACAGCCCAGTGGAGGAACGGGCTGCAGCGATACTGCGTGTATCTCTCTGCCACAGCCACGTCCAAACCGGGAGGTCACGGGAGGGAACTTCCAGGCAGAAGCGGTTGTGCCAAGATACCACTGCATTCTCTGCACGTGCCTACAGCCCATGACTGCTCGCTGCCTTCTGTGATGGGGCTCAGAGACCATGTGCCTGTGCTGGTGATCAGGTGGGGCTCAAGGGGCAGGGATCAGTTCATCCTGAAGAGCAGCTGGACCTGCTTTCTGCAGTTGTAAAATAAACATGAAGTTTTTCCGCAGCTGGAAAAAGGATGTTTCGGTGTTTCTCTTGTTTGCCGCTAGAAAAAATCTGGTGGTCCTTGTGCACTGGGGATGCAGTTGAAGATGGTGCTTGCCAAAGGTGAGGAGCAAAACGGACTTCTCAGCATTCTCTGAAACTCTGCAAAGGCACAACTCCAATGACAGGTAACGAGTGACATTTCCAAAAATTGCCAGTGCTACTTCAAACGGCAATAAAAACGTTTCACATGGATGCAGCAAGAAACGCCGCTCATTTGTGCTCGGTATGATGGCCATAATTAAATAAATGCCTACATTTATCGTTCTTGTTTGCTCACATTAAACAATAATGCACCATGGTTCTGAAGCATTGTCCACTCCGGGATACACATTACTGAGATGCTATTTCATGGTCTGTTTTCTGCGTTCACTGGAAATTAAACTTGCAAAAACATTTAGGATTGAGTATCGTTTATTATATAGAAATGGGAAGGATGCATACGAGAAGCACACACACTAGAAAATATTGGACGATGGGGGCAGAACGCTGAAGGTGGTCTGCAGGAACACAAGAGCTGAATCAAAGCAAAAGCCATCCAGGGTTCTGTTCCCAGAGCGGCCAACCTGATACAGAGGAGAAACCAACAACGTGGGCTTAAAAAAATCAGCAAGATACTCTGTCAGATCATAGAAACAGAGGAACAGAGCGAGCCAGAAGGGGCCTCTGGGGCCATCTAGTCTGACCCCTGGCTCCAGCTGGCTCCGCTCACGACATGCCCGCCATGTGCCTGTCCAGCCTATCCTTGAACACCCTCCCCGATGGGGCCTCAGCCACCTCCCGTGGGAGCCCATTTCACACCCTCAGGGGCCTAACTGTCAGGAAGTGCTTCCTGGCATCCAAATTGAACCTGGGTTCCCTGAGCTTGGCTCCATTGGAATTCATCCTGCCCCCCACTGCAGGGGGGAAAAGGTCGTGGCCCACCCCGGTGTGGCATGCTTTACGACGACTCGCCTGTGGCGAGTAAGAACTTCCTCCAAGTGACCCGATCAGGAGGGTGATGGCTCTTCAGTGCTTCCTTTCAGATGCCTGTCAGAAGGGCAAGCAGACAAGTAATTTAGAGGCTCTCCATTCTTCCTAAAGAGTGGAAAGCCTGAAATGGCCCATCCTGTGGGTAAGCAGACGCATGATTTGTCATCCACTTGCAGGCCTGCTCTGGATGCCTTGCAGTGAACAACCGCATTCGCCCCGCAGTCTAGGGACATACTATCCTGCTTTTCACATTCCCGACCACATATTCTGTGTTCGTAAATGTTTGTAGCTGTTAAGGGAGGAATGGACCATTCTCAGGGCAGCTCCTTAAAGAGGAACGGATGCAACAAAACAGCCAGCCCCAGACCTCTCCAGCATGCTAATCACACATTGCGCCAGATGCCTCCAACGCCTGCATCCGTGTATTATTGATGGCTGCAATCGAATGAGCTTAGGGAAAGAACGGTGTTGCTTGCATGGCCGGGCCGATTTCCCTTCGTAGTTTTCAGGGTACAAAGAAGCATGGGCCTCCGGAGTTGCTCATCTCCATAACGCGCCACCTCCACGAGCAAGCTAACGAGCAACCTTGGACGACCTTGCTGAGTAGCGTACGCCACGTCTCGACCCAGAAACGATCCTAAGCAGTTGTTTGCCTTCAAGGAGATCCCTTGGAAGATGACGGACCAGCAGGCCACCGCCTCTTCAGTATCAGAACCAGAGTGTTGGAGGCAGTTTAATTCCCCGTTGCGGAAGGGACAGGCAGAAGGGGCCTCCCGGGCCACCTAGTCTGACCCCCGGCTCCAGCCGGCTCCGCTCATGGCATGCCCACCATGTGCATGTCCAGCCTATCCTTGGACACCCACACGAAGGGGCCTCAACCACCTCCTGTGGCAGATGCACATTCTTTAGATCGGGGGTGTCCAGCCTTTTGGATTCTCTGGGCCACACTGGAAGAAGAAAAATGGTCGTGTCGCACACTAAATACACAACATGGGAACCCTCCTTGAAGGAAGTACAGAGGGTGTCTACCCGGAGGAGAGCCTTCTCCTCAGTGGCACCCAGGCTATGGAATGCACTCCCCAGAGAGGTCTGCCTGGCGCCAACGTTGTCCTCCTTCCGGCGCCACCTTTTTATTCAACCACCATTTTAATAATCGAGGGTTTTAGATGTTTTAAGGGTTTTTTTCTTTCCTCACAGTCACACTTTTCATTTTCTATCTTCCATTTTTTCCTTCCTTTTCTTTTTAGTTAATGAGGTTCAGTTTTATATGGTTTTAATAATCGTGGTTTTATTATTGTATGCAATGTAAGCTTTCCTGAGTGCTTGTCGGAAGTACGGGATACAAATGTTTGTCATAAACAAACAAATAAATAAACTGATTATCAAAAAAAGAAAAAAGAAAAAGAAAGGTCTGTGCATAATTTTTGTCTTGTCCATGATTTACAAGGGTAGGTTGAAATATTACGGGTAATAGCTGTGCTTCCCTTGCCAAGTCACCATGAGCACATGCAGCATCTGATGGTGTCACATCGACTGCCTGCGCTTGGAAGATAACACACTGGAAGCCGCACACCACCATCAAACCGAAGCCATGCAGGCGTACAAATAGCACATGTATGTTTATTTTACGTGACATTGCAACACAATGTTGTCGTCTACAAAGTTCTCACTTGAGAACTGAGGAATCAAGTTACCAAAACTATGGCAAAAAAGCCTCACAACATTTTAAACAAGTCTTCAATTTTGTGTCGGGTCACATTCATACCCACCCTGGGGCACATGTGGCCCGCGGGGTGTGGGTTGGACACCCCCGATTCAGACCAGTTCCGTGCTTCCCAAGGCCTGCAGCCTTCCCTCCCTTGACTGCATTAATGGTGAGGAACGGTTTCCTTCGGTTCACATTTTAATGTGAACGTACCCAGCTTTGCACTTTCAAACCAAAGGATCAACCAAAAGCCACAACCAGCTA